CCCGATTTATATATTTCCAGAGTTTTCTAGCGTTCGTATGTGTTCCCTTCTGTGTGAAAGTTTAATGATTATGCAAGTTGGCACTTATGTTTGGGGTCGAAGCATAAGTAGATAGGGCAGTGGTGCATCTGTTATGATCAATGTCATATTTATGTTCGCTTATACGTTTATCTAGAGAGCGTATCGAGGAGCCAATATATACCAGGTCCCTTTGAAATCTATGGTCCCTTAGTGGGACAGAATATACTCCTGGAGCCAATCTTTTGTCTATGTCGTCTTTGCAGTTGCGCAGAATGTCATAAATGGTACTACGCCTCCTACATGCAATTCTCTTGTTTGTACATGCAGCAATTTCTCTGTAAATCAGATCAAGGTGGTGGTTATATTCAAACACAGCCAAAGACTGAAAATTGTTGGAGTTCGTGCGTGAGCTATCGTTGTCATTATTATATACTTGCTATGAATAGGCAAACGCAAGGTTCTGAATTAATCGTGGCCCATATCCGTGTCGCGTGGCTATGTTCTGGATGCGTTGTAATTCTGTTAACGTATCGTTGAATTTTGAGTGGTGTGTCTTTGCAGTTGCGCATAATGTCATAAATGGTACTACGCCTCCTATATGCAATTCTCTTGTTTGTACATGTAGCAATTTCATTGAGATATATCTTCATTGAGACCGATCCTTGACAAGGCACGATACCCCACTAGATTGTTATACACGGCTATACACAAGCATATAGCTCATGGCTTAAACAATTATCCATGGACGGTTAGGAACTCAGTAGAGTTATTGGAGGCTTTGAGACCGCTTAGCATTAATGATTGAACATACATCACTGTGCTTGATTTTGTTTCATTATACCCTTCTATAAAAATCCAGCCATACTTTTGCACAATTAGGGACCTCTTACTAACTTCATATGGGGCGTACCGTAAACAAGTATTAGATCTTGTCCACCTGTTATGCTACACGTTATTTTTTCGGTTCAACAACAAAATGTACCTCCAGAAGTGCGGTGTCGCTATGGGCAACCCACTTTCGGGGGATTTGTGTGAGTTAGTTGTTAGACAACTAGAACAAAGAATAGTACCTATGTATATTTCTAACATACTTGTTTATAAAAGATACGTTGATGACATCTTTATTATTTAGAATGCTAAGTCCGATATAAATAACTTCATTGACGCGATGAATAATAACCCGTATGGCCTCTGCATCAAATTGGACCAAATAAGCAATTCAAATGCTACCTTCCTTGATATCAATATACAATTAGATGGCGACAGGATATCTACCAAGGTCCATTACAAGCCATGCTACACGCCTCTATTCATCCCAACCAATTCTGATGGCCCCCTTTTTGTACAAGGTAGTGGCATTCCTGGCCCTAACGAAAAGAGCGTTTACACACCACTCAAAATTCAATGATACATTGGCAGAATTACAACACATCCAGAACATAGCCACGCGACACGGATATGGGCCATGATTAATTCAGAACCTTGCGTTTGCCTATTCATCGCAAGTATATAATAATGACAACGATAGCTCACGCACGAACTCCAACAATTTTCAGTCTTTGGCTGTGTTTGAATATAACCACCACCTTGATCTGATTTACAGAGAAATTGCTGCATGTACAAACAAGAGAATTGCATGTAGGAGGCGTAGTACCATTTATGACATTCTGCGCAACTGCAAAGACGACATAGACAAAAGATTGGCTCCAGGAGTATATTCTGTCCCACTAAGGGACCATAGATTTCAAAGGGACCTGGTATATATTGGCTCCTCGATACGCTCTCTAGATAAACGTATAAGCGAACACAAATATGACATTGATCATAACAGATGCACCACTGCCCTATCTACTTATGCTTCGACCCCAAACATAAGTGCCGACTTGCATAATCATTAAACTTTCACACAGAAGGGAACACATACGAAGGCTAGAAACTCTGGAAATATATAAATCGGGGTTATGCAATAACTGCATGAACTATAATGATGCGATTTATATTTCTACAGCTTAGAAGTTTGTTTTTGAAGGAGAAGGACCCCACAACTCAATTTAGGGTGTTTTCCACTATTTCACGTGTGTCAAATAATATTGTTTAAATATATTTTTGTTTATGCAATGCTTGATATGCATGTGCATAATGAGTTGAGTATGTTCCAAAACTTTTAAATCTTAAAGCACAACGGCTTTTCGAATCTCGGAATGTTTAACCTGAAGAAGGCCAAAGAATACAGTCAAAAACGTTTGTTTTTTCAAATAAATATTTTACTGGTCACTCAAAGGTTTATCGTGAATCTATTTTATATATATTTTACCAGTACCAGGTGAGGAGGAACCTTTACACAAGGAATCAATGAAATTTTGCGATAATTTAAATCACCGTAAATTTTGAGCTTTTTTTAGGCTTTGAGCAGACCGCATTATATCAAATCAGCATTAAGCGGGGTCTTACTATATTTTTGGTATTCATTCAAAATAGAACTAATGGTTTTTTTAAAAACTGTTTAAATTAAACATTACTTTTGATACTCTGTCAAAACCAGACATAAATTAAGTTTGGCTAGGTTAAACTGTGTGTATGGTGTGTTTGTATAAAAGAAACTCAGAATTGCTGATTTGTTCAATTTATTTAACTTTTTCATGCTCTTAATCTTTTTAGTACCAAGGTGACTAAACCATGTACTGTACAGTAGAATCTTGTTTTAACAGATTGCAGGACAACAGGTTTCTTGGAATAGTGGATTTTTTCCCAGGTCTTGCCAAATCAATATAATTTTATCTCCTTTTAGCAGATCTATAACTTGGAATAACAGATTTTTTCTAGTCCAGTCTATTGTAAACTTTGCATTTTTTCAATGTTTAGTTAATATTTGAGTGTTTCTGACTGATATACAGACAATTCAAGAACTGTTCAAAGAGAGTCAGCAGGCTGATAAGGTTGAGAAAGAGCCACCTAGTGAACATTCTGACACTGGTGCAAGTATAGTGCCAAAATTTAGTGAGGCCATCAAATTCACTCACTTCATTAGTGAGTGAATTTTTGTCTTTCCAAATAAATAAATAAACAAACAGAATGTACATGAATATCAAGCAGTTGTTGTATTCAATTGTTTGAAAAGTTACATCAAAACAGAAGAAAATGGCCAAGTCTTTTAACAAATCAAAGTCAAGTGTAGTGCTAATGAGCATATGTAATTTACCTCTTTTTATGCTCACAGTATATACAGGTTCTGTCAGCTTTGTCATATACACATACAGCGTAATACTGTATATGCTCTTGTAGCATATTGTGTTGCTATAGAATAAAGAATTGAGATCTCAAAAGACTGAATAATTTCAAGTAATGGTACTTTTTACATGTAGGAGATTTAAAAATAATTGAAATTTTTTGAAAACAGATATTTTCCTTGATGTGCAGGAAATCCGTTGTTCATGATATAATGGAATTTTGGAATAATGGATAATTTTCAGTGGCCTGAATGATCTGTTAAAATGAGATTCTACTGTATTCTAAAAATTCATGTTTAATTCTAGTTCAGGCAGCTCTTTTCACAAATTTTTTATCATAACCAATTTCTCAATGTCTAATATCCCATTAAGGATCTGATCAAAAGAGGACTTTTAATGTATGTATAATAAGAATGTTAAAAGATCCTGTTAGTACCAAGTACTTAAATAATTAAAAAATAAAAAATAACAGACTTTTGAAAGTTTACTATATAAATTCATTAGGAAAAGAAAGAGTAAATACATTAATAAATATTAAGATTTTATTTATTGTAATTTTAACATCAGTTTTCTAGTAAGAATATNCACAAATCGATAATATAACGTTGTGTCAAAATTTCAAAGAAATCGGTAGGAACAAATGAACATTACATTTTTATTTATATAGATAGATAGATAGATGATGATCTGCTTTAGTTTATCCTTACAGAAAAGCATAATGCCTCACAGAAAAGAAAACTTAGGTCGTCGTGCTCGTGGAGTTAGCGCCATCTGTTGGACATAAAAGCCTTAATCCTAGATGATAACTTTTAATTTATATGAATGTTTAATGGAATAATATACAGTCTATGTCACCCTGAATTTTTCGAAAAATCCCTTCTTAGTGTACATTCTCTTAACATACCCTATTAAAATGCAAAAAAACCATATCTAAAATAGTATAATAAAAGCCAAGTTCTTCATGGTAGGCCTTAATCCTGTCCCTCTCCTCCCAGTGGGGAGAATTTCGACACGTATATTATATAAAAACGTGCGTATTCGAATGCAACGTTGTGTCAAAATTTCAAAGAAATCGGTAGGAACAAATGAACATTACATTTTTATTTATATAGATAGATAGATAGATGATGATCTGCTTTAGTTTATCCTTACAGAAAAGCATAATGCCTCACAGAAAAGAAAACTTAGGTCGTCGTGCTCGTGGAGTTAGCGCCATCTGTTGGACATAAAAGCCTTAATCCTAGATGATAACTTTTAATTTATATGAATGTTTAATGGAATAATATACAGTCTATGTCACCCTGAAGTTCCATTCTAAATATTGGTAAAAGAATTTTTGAAATCGGATGAGTAGTTTCGGAGATTCCTACATTCAAACTTACAAACTTTACCTCTTTATAATATTAGTATAGATTTACTTGTAAACTAAGATGATAAATTAAAATATATTTTTAAAACCATTACTATTTTTTTAACATAGTTTAAGGACATTCAATATATTACTGTAAATATAAAATTTTACAGATTTCTAGGAAAAGAAGCATTTTAAAAGTTGGCCATAAAAAAGAATAATCATGATTAAAATAAATGTATTTTATTACTTAAATGGTAGATTAAGTAACAATGTTCTTTCAGAATTCCTTTTGCTTTTTTGAACATAATAGCATATTTATATGTGAATGCTATTCTTTTTTATTCAAAGTAACTTGATTCTTAATAATGTAAAGCTTCAGGGACAAATTATTTCTTTTCACTTCAGACATAAATCTTAATACTTTACACTGTTTGGCAACTGTCCAATGTGTCATTATTTGCTATACTTATCCACTGATGAAATAATTGCTGAAGAAATCTAGGAGTAATTTCTAGCAATTTATCAATTTTATGCATTGTTTATCTCATAATGAGTGATGTGATTGAAGTGAATTGTCTGACAGTTGAGAATTTAAGTAATATGATAGACAATCTGAATGATATAAATGAGTCTATAAAGAAAATAACTGGCATACATTATTAACTATTTTGTTAATCTATTTCACTATTGATTTACAAAGGATACATTCACACAAGTTCAAGTTTATTCTTGAAGTTTTTCCCAAAAGGTAATTTAATTGTGTAAATTCTAGTAGTAGTAATGAATTGTTTTTATCAATATATTTATTATGCATTTTTAACTTACAAATGTAAAAATTTTCATAAATTATTATAGAAAATTGCTAGAAATTCCATAGCATCAGCTAAAACAATGGAAAAAAGTTTCAATTACATTTATATATTCTTATTCTTTATATTTATTGTTTTTATTGATAATACATGTTTTTTATAGGAAAATATTTATTGTTATTTTAAAAGCTTTTTAATAATTCTTATTAATTCTAATACTATAACCTAGATAAACACCATGAATATATATAATACCAAATGAATAGCTCTATTCTATATCAGGCATCTTAAGGCTAATTAATTAGCCTTAAGATGCCTGAATTTGTCTAGAGATAGGCAATTAAGCCACAATCTTGCATTAAATTTAATACAAGATGGTGAGAGATTTCTCCTATTGATCACACTTTGACAGAAAATTTTTCAGTGTGTAAAAATAAGAAAATTGCTTTACTTGATTTTGTATTTGATCAAAGCAAAAACTTCAGAAAACATATCAATGTTTTCTGTTTCTGTTTATATTTGTGTGTGTTTGTAGCCTTGTTTTATGTGTGTGTGTGTGTGTGTGTTTGTAGTCTAAGTCCATTCCAATTTAAAATCACCAGAAAAATTGTTGTGATTTGCTTATGTATGGACAAATTTAAAAAGAACATACCACCAAAAATGCAGAAAGAGCTTGGGGGTATAAAATTTGAGCATACTCTGTCTAAAAGTTCAAATTTAAGTAAGTAAATCATTCAAGATGGTATCTAAAACTTTATATTTTCAATGAAAAAAACACAAAGAAATTTCACTTAGAACAGGTATGCTTTTTTTCAGTTTAAAATATATTCTTAAATGTGTATTTTATTTCATGCGCTCTTTTATTTTTGTTTTGTTATCATTTCAACTTTTACAAATATAGCAAATACTGGGTCTAGCCTGAAATCTGGTAAAAAAAGAAGAAGGAAAAAAAACTTACATTTTGAAGTATTGACCATTTTTTTATTTCAGCCTGCTTAAGACAGAAAACTTGTTTAAACCAGAATGTTTACATAGTCCTGTGCAATTCTTGTTTTTACAGGTTTTCCTTTATATTAAAATTTTATTTTAAACTTAGAATATCAAGATTTTTTTACATTTAGATATTTTTATAATTTATTTAGATTCATCTTTGGGTTCTCTCTCTCTCAGTATATTTATTGAAATATATTTTTATTTTGATCATGTTCTAATCATTGTGGAATTAAGTGATTTTCTGATCCTTTTCATTAAATAGGATTCCTCAGAGGTCTGTTGTAAGTCTACAGTTGTGTTAATTCTATGCTTAAATTGAGTAATCGATTTAATCATCATGTATTTACTATTTATACAGAAGATACAAAAATACTAATTGTTTTAATGAAGAACTGCAATCTAATCTGTAGTAATAAAATGGCTTCTTAAACATTTTTATGAATTAAAATTAATTAAAAGAAGTATTATATGTGCTAATGATTATGAAAGTGGCCTAAGTCATATATTTATCATTTTGAGATATGTAAGATTTTGCATTTGGATGTATAAAAATATATTTTGTAACTATATAACAAAATATTTCATCAAATATTTGCTCTTTTATAATGTAAATATTTTCTGTGATTATATATATACAATTTTATTTGTAGGTTATAAGTAAATATCTTTTTTCAGATGTCAAGTGACTTATACAATTAATTTTGAAAATAGTCATTTTACATCTGAAAAACGTATATACTTATAATCAAGGTTGTGGAGTCGGAGTTGGAGTCGGAGTCGTGGAGTTTTGGTGTTTTAGCCGGAGTCGGAGTCGTCAAAAAATCTGCTGACTCTGACTCCTTTTTACTTACCAACTTGTTATGTATGTAAAATGGAAAAGTATTGGAATCGTGTCAAATTTGACCCTCCAAGTTTTTTTTGCAAATCTACATGTTTGGAGACCTCCTGAACCCCTCAAAAAAGTCAGTAAAGGGGAAAAATTCACGCGTGTGTGTGTTGGCATCTAATTTGTTTAATTTCTTTATTTTCTGTTCTGAGATATTAAACAATATCTCAGAATGGGTAAAGTTTAAGAAACGAAATGTGGCACTGTAGCTTGCGTGTAAAGGGGCATTAATACTATTAAATTTTGGTTCTTAATTAATGAAAGGTTGACAGAGTGAAGACATAAAAGTGGTTATGTGTCATATCTCTTAATGAATATTTTACTTGTTATTAGCGTTCAAAATTAAAAAAAAAAAATAATAAAACTCGTCTCTACCCTCAAAGTAAGCTTTTTAGCCATTTTATAATAGTACAGTAAAACCCGTTAAGACGTTCTCGCCTAAGATGTTAGAATGTATATGGGGACACAATTTAGTTCAACCACTTTAATGCTTAATAACTAACTCCTGTGTTAAACCATCTGACTCCAATTCTGACCACTCTGATCACAGAAATTATTAGGCTTCAAACAGAATGAACAAAATCATGCCCCCCCCACCAGTAGCATAGCGAAGGGGGGGCAGCAAAATTTCACAATAAATTATAATAATATCTTGTAAGAATTTGAACCATTTTATTTCATATTTTCGTCCAGCTATGATTCAGATCAATTGAAATGAGCATGGAATAGTGTTACCATTCGACTCGCCGTCCAGGAATATCATGCGCAACCTGTTGACCTTTTTTTTTTTCTTTATTTTTTTGCTTGTATGATTCATTTGTAATCACATACACCTCCAAAATCCAATAGAGCTAAGTCACTTGCGTTACTCCTATCCAAGTCTCCCTAGTCGCTAATTGTAACTGATTTAGAATCGGCATGCACTGCACATTATTCTTCGTATTGCAAAATGACATTGTGCGTGCGTCAGGAACTTCTGTTCGAACAAACCTCACCTGCCGTCCGGGTCAGTGATTTTGAAAAGGTGGCAACACTAGCATGGAATTTTTCATTACTTATTCTGTGATGAAACTGAATTTTAGTCTTTTGAATTGAGATACCTAAATAAGGGGGCGGCGAAATTTTCCTCCGTCCAGGGCAGGTAACACCCATGCTATGCCAGTGCCCCCCACACAGTCTAACATCCACACATATAGAAAAAACCTTGAATCTTTTGCATATTTCGAAATTTTACGGTGTCCTGAGTTCAAAAATGTAAAAATTTGGGGGGGTCCTTTTTTGACCAAGCGCTACACTTTTCCTCTGTTATATATAACAGCCGGAAAACTAAAAATTATCGAATACATATTTATATATTACTTAGAGAAGTCTTTTAGCTTTGGAATAAAAAGTTTCTACGCTCTATTATTATTAGAACTCTATTTATTGAATCTTTTATTCTGCAGTCACGTGATGACATCAGAATTTCAGGGTCTTTTTAGGTAACAAATCCGCCCCTGGTCGGAGTCGGATGGTAAGGAAGAGTTGGAGTTGGAGTCAGTAGATTTTTACGCGACTCCACAGCCCTGCTTATAATCTACAAATAAAATTGTATATAATCACAGAAAATATTTACATTATAACAGCAAATATTTGATGACATATTTTGTTATATAAAGATGCCACACATTCCAACAATTTATCAGGAATAAAATATTCCTGATAAATTGGTTTGGCATCTTTATATTTTTCCTTTGTTACTGATCTGATGGTAGCATATAATGAAAGTAATTGAATATTTTGATATATTTTTGGCCTTCCTCTTTTGGATGAAAGATTTAAAACATGGAATTCAGCATCATAATGCAAGGATGTCTTACAGAACATTTTATATTCAGCAGTTTTTAGAAATCACATCGACTGTATTTGTAACCAGCAGACAGATTTTTCCCTCGATATTCTGTATTCTTGTTTTTGATTCTATCTAATGACGTAACAGAGAACTAATTGAATATTTTTCTTCACAAATCACAAATTTATGAGAAAGTGAATGACTCAGGCCATTTTCAATATAAACAAGAATTGAAGTTTAATGACCCAAGTAAAATGTTCTCAAAGAAAATATGCCAGTAAAGGCAAGTGGAGCACCAGGAGTATATTCCATCCCTCTGGAAGATCAACAATTTCAACATAAACTTAATATGTGGGAGCTACAGTGAGGAGCTTGAAAGCAAGTCTTAAGGAACATAAATCTTTATATATATTAAAAAGAAAATGTTTTGTCCCCATCAAAACTGAAACCAATACTTTACAAAGAAGTAAGTCATATTAGGTTGCAGGTGGGGTCTACAATTTGTTCCTCAAAAGGACCTGCCGTTAACTTTCTCTGTGGACCCAGCATGAATTTGTAGAAAGGGCTAACAAAGGGAAAGGAAGGAATTTGTGTGGGGATAGGAGACACAGAAAGACTTCACTTTTGACTTGGAGTTAAAGAGAGAGCTATTCATTTGTTCCAGTAGCAACTATTCTTTAATTAAGTTTGATTTTTGAATAATAACCTTTGATTATATACAGAATACAGATATACAGATTTAGTTTTAGTTTTCTATTATTTTGAATAATTTTTATCTGTATACATAGTAAAATGCAATATCAGGACTCTAGCTATTGCAGGTGTTGCATTTTACTTGGCCAGCAGTGTATATTAAAAGCAAAATTTTTGGCCACAGCCACACATAAATAATGTACATTTAAAAATTAATTTGAATTATGTTTTGAAGATTTCAAAACAACTTTTAAATGGTTTTTAAAAATGTTTTAGTTTTTAATTTATTTGATTTTAATTAGTTTTGATTTTATTTTAAATTTGGTTTTGATTTTGGTGTATAAGCCACAGTTTTAATTATTTTATTGGGTTGCAATTTGAAAAAAATCGTAGACCTATAATTCTTACTGTTGTCCATTCATCTGTCTTTCCTTAATCTCAAGAACGGAGTTTAATAGATGAAAGATGAGACCAGATATGGAAACCTTAGGGATAGGATGTCCTGATTATCTATATAGTGTGTGATCAGTTAAAGAACATAATTTGTTCCAAGACCGTGTTTATTACCCAAATTGTTCGTTAACTGATTATCAATTTATAGTAAGACCCTCTTAACGCTGGCTCGCTTAATGCTGATTTGATATAACATGGTCTACTTGAAGCCTTAAAAAAAGCTCAAAATTTACGCTGATTCAAATTATTACAGCATTTCATTGATTTGTATATAATACAATTATTTACGAACACAAACCAATTAGAAAAAGGTGACAAAAAGGTGTACTTTTTTAAATCTATGTTTGTTTGGTGCAATTTTGGAAAAAATATAAGATCATGGATGCCGTAGGCAATATCTGCTTCACTTGGCAAGAATTAACTGATAAATGCATGAACAGAGTGTGGAAGAAATTATGGCTGAAGGTATCCAAGAATTCTTAACAAGAAGAGCCTATTGCTGTATTATTAGGTTGACCAAACTCAACGTAATCAATACAGCAGGACTAGGAGATATAGACGAGCAAGATATTGAAGAGTTATTGCAGGTTTCTGGTGAGAGCCTTACCAATGACGATTTTTAAGAACTGGCAGAACAAGGAATTTATGTAGAACTGGAAAATAGTGATTCTGAAAACGAAGAACCCAAAAAATTTCTCTACAGATCTCCTTAGTAAAAGTTTGGTAACGATAACCGAAATTGTTGATCAAATTGTAGCAAATGATCTAGATTTTGAAAGAAGTGCAAAAGCAAAATGAGGCGTTTTGGATGCCATCTTCTGCTATCGACATTTACTTAAGAAAAGAAAAAAGCGAGAAATGAAACTTTACGACTTTATCACAAAAAGCAAGAATATCAGAAGAGCCTGGACCTTCCTCACAAAAAAATGAACTTTATATTTCTGTGCATATGCTTATGTGTTATTTAACATGTATTATTATACAAATTAATATAAAAATAAAATTAAAGTAAAATTTGTTTATTTTTGGTTGCGTGTTCCCCTATCCCTATTTATTCTATGTTAAAATGACTTCGTTTAATGCTGTTTGTTTAGTGTTTTGTTGTCTAGGAATGCATTTGCGTTAAGTGGGGTCTTACCGTACCATAGATTTTTATGGGAAGTTGATTAATTCATTCTGGAAACCCCAAAAAATATATGTTCTTACTATGTTTATATGTAATAATAAAAATATTTATGTACACAGTCTTGCATTGTGTATCAGTCATGTTTTCTTTTGCATTTATGGGATGTTAAAGAATCTGTCCAATGTCAATTGCTTTTCTCTCTTCTTCAGGAATTTCGGAAGTAATTAATAGCAATGTCATTGTAGAGATCCCAAGCCTATTAACCTCAACCTGGTTTGGATGCCATTCTAAGATGGTTGTTCTGACATCCTCCCATTTCTTCAAAAGATCTTTAATAGCAGGTGTTGGCATTGGTCCTCTTGTGTTTTCCTCTTTTTCAGAAGAAAACATATCTTGTTGAGTTTCTTGGAGTTCTTTCAGGTTCCATTATGAGTTCTTCAATGTTCTTTATTTCTCAGATGTGATTTTCATTATTCCTTTAGCTGCTTGAGTCTTCTTGATTATATCTTTCTTAGCTAAGATTGTGCCTACTGTTGATCTGTTCAAGCCATACTTCTTAGTCACATCAGATATCTTCTCTACCCCTCTCTCTACCTTGGTTATTATACTCTCATCTTTTGAAAATAAAAACCAATGCAAAACTTAACATGTGCCCACAAGTTTTTTAGTCTCACAAAGACTTAAAAAAATTTTTTTGTCAGAAAGGTGAACAAAAAAGCTGGAATTAGAAAGGAGAGTTTCAAAGTTTGGAAGAATATTATCCGATCAGTATCGGGCTGAGCATCAATGTCAATCTCTCCCAAGCTCCAAAAGGTTTTGAATTGTCACCTGGAGACAAGGGAAGACCAATTGGTATTCACTATTTTACATTGCTTCTTCTTGTGTTTGTTCTGTCAGGTATTCATTATCTGAACATGTATTTGTTGTCCGAACATAAAAATATTTTGCAAAAGTGTTTGTTGTTCGATTTGTTTGCAGTCTGAACTGTTTGTTAACTGATCACCCACTGTATATGAACTTCTGATGCAAACCAGAAGTCATATTATTTCAATTCAAAATTTTTCCCCACAAGGTCTTAGATAGATGAACACACAACTCTATTATTAAAGGAAAAGTATGAAATATAGGGGCAAACCACTACTAATTTGAGGTGAATAGCATATATTTTAAACTAAATAAATTAAAAATCACAGCCCAGCATTGTGATGTCATAATAAATAATTGCATTACTTCCTAACTTTAATATATATATATATATATATATATAGAGAGAGAGAGAGAGAGAGGCAGCTGATACTAATAATCTTGCAACAGTTTTCAAAATCTTAAAAAATGATAAAACACCATATGATCATAACTCTGTGTCTGGAATTTACTCCATTCCAATAAACAACCGACATTTTACAAAAAATAAAAAAACTTGTATACATAGGTGCAATCGGATATAATCTCTAACAATGAATTAAGGAGTACAAATACACAATTGATTATGAACACTGCATTACTGGCCTATTCTCATCATCATGACATATAAGTAAACTGGAAACAAACAAAAGTCATCAAGAGAATAATACAATACATACAGTATTATCATATATGATCAAAAAGATCTATTTCATTGTTTATATAAAATTTACACAGTACTAAAAACAGATTATAAATTGAAATAAAATGGTTTGATAATGTATGCCTATCTCAAACAATTATACTTAAAAATCAAATTAAATGTTTGGCTGGAGCCAGAGTTAGAAAATTCACCTGGAACAGATCTGAAGTAAGGAGCCATAATCAGACCTCTGTTAGCTCTGACTATGTACAGGAATATGCTCATTCTGAAATGATATTCATATATTCATTCTTTGGATATAGATGTTCAGCATATTATAGTGTTAAAACATAAACTTTAAATATGTTTTACAGAGAATATTTTCTGTATGTTAATTATAGTTTGATATGTCTGAGAATAATGCTAAAATTTATTATTATTATATGAGCCATTCACAGGTTAAATTGATTAACTCCATATGTAAATCCTTAATATAATCATTATTATTTTTACATTTATTTCATAAATAATTTTATACATCATTACATTAAACCTATCCTTTAATATAATAGTATATATATAGACACATTCTACAATGTTTATTCAAATTTAAAGTTTAAAAGGAATTTAAAAAATAATTTACATTATCAATTTTTATACTTTTTGTTATATGGAGTTATCGATTTGGCGAGTGGCTTCTATGTGATAAAAGAATCTATTTTTATCATTTACATAAAATTTACATGAAGTAACAGAAGCAGATTATAAATAAAAGTAACAAAATAAAATGGTTGAATAATGCATTTCTGTCTCAAACAATTGCATTTAAAAATTAAATGTTTGGCTGGAACTGGAACAGGAGCTAGCAAATTATCTGAAGTGGAGCTGGAACTTGAGTCATGATCAAGATTTCTGCATCAAGCCCTACTTGTAAAGACTTTTTAGTTTTCTGAACAAGTCAAAATCATAGGTAAATATGTTTTGTGAATAGGACAGATGTTTAAGGATCTCCCAACCCATTTCTGCATTGTTATATAACAAAGTTGGCTTTTCTTGTACAAATGCAGGTCATAAGTGATATTCAAGAAATTTTTTATGAGGTTGATTTCCATTGACAAATGCCATTTTAGCTCAGTAGCATGATCCTTGCACTCTATCTGAAAACAGCTTTGTTGACAGTATTTATATAGCACCCGTTACATGACAATGTAACGGGTGCTACACATGGCTGGAGACTTTATGGTGGGGTTGTAAAAACTTTGGCAAGTACAACTTACTTTGTAATTTTTTGTTCATTAGCCAATAATTATGACCTGATACAATTCTTGTTGTTAAGAAGATTTTCTATAAAATAATCTTGAATTTAAGTTTTCATAAGTGGAATCACTATTAATAGTAGGGAGACTTTCAATAGATATTTATCTGTTTGTTTCTATACGTTGATATAATATTTTTCTGAATAGAAATTTTTATTAAAATCATTGAATATAACAATAGATTTGTATTACAGTAGGCATTTATTAAAATTTACAGAATTAATTACAGCATTTATTTTCCAAATTCTATTGTCAACTATTATTATCTGCCTTGCAAAAAGCAATTGCAAGAAAATGTTTTTCATTTAAAACAAAGAGAGTACTATATGCTTTAATCATATATATTGAATAAAATTAATTGCCAGGACAATAAGTATAAACTTGGAAAAATTACAAAAAATTTCCTAGAGATGAACTTTAAAAGTGTTCTTCCTCCTTTTAGTCAGCAGGAAATAAAGTTTGTCCCTAGGAAATATTTTGTGATTTTTCAAGCCTTAATTTTATATACAAAAAGTTTTAATATGATAACACTTTTATTCTTGTCAATTTCCTTTTATCACAATTACATAAATAAAAGTATCTTCTCTACAGCAGGGCCAATATGTTTCCTGTTGAGAAGGTATTGATCACTTAGGAGTTGATTAGCAAATTAGATACATACTGTACATGCATATATATTTTAATGTTGTTTAATTATTTAGCAAATACAATCATTTAAAAATTCTTTAAAATATTTTCACTATCATTTTCAAAACTTCCCAAATATAAAAGAATTAGTTAAAAAATAGTATTTGTGTATGTATAATTGTTTAAGGGGAACCCCTCATCTAGAGTAAATTTTAGTCTTATGCAAACTGCAATTTTTATTGTTTGGATATAAATTATTTAATAATTGTACATATATGGTACATTTTGTGTGTCTGTGTGTGTAAATTTGAGATAGTGTAGAATTCAAATTAAATTTTGAAAATGTTTATTTTTAAAGATCCAGCAACAAGCATGGATAGTGGACATTTTTCAGATGACTTGAGTTCCAGTTCTCAAGGCCTTCCTCCTGATTATCGCCTTCTCATGGCAGAAATGAGTAAATATATTTTTTTAAATTATCAATGTACTCATGTATTATTATTAACAGATAATTATTTTGTGTAATATTTTCAACAGAATATTCTTTAAAATGTATGATAGACAAAAAGTACTTTGTTGATAAATTCCTAAATAGGAAAAATAGATCAGAATTTTGTTTTTTATATTGTCCACGTAGACCTTGTTTATAAATAGGACTTATTATACTGTTATAGTTTTGAATTAGCAAAAAGGAGGAAGTCGTTAGTCAAAAAAAATAAAGTAAAAAGCAACAGGTGAAAATAAAGACATTTTGCTTTTTGACTAAGACTTTTTTCTTTTTGCTAATTCAAAACTATACAGAACTAGTATAATAAGTCCTATTTATAAAGAAGGTCTATGTGGACAATATAAAAAACAAGATTGAAATATTAACGACATAGAGGAACATAGAATTAAGATCAGAAGTTTGTTTACATTATATTCAGTGGTGATATTCGAAATATTTAACAAAGGGTTCGCTAACAGAAAATTTTTCCTTAATTTTTTTCGCTCAAATGGTGCATTAACAACATTAGCGCAAAAACTGACCTTAAGATAACCATATAAATAAAAAAGATGCGTTCGCAAAATTAAGTCAGTTAAAATTTAACATTGTTTATGCCAGAACTATATTTTTTTTTAAATAATAAAAAAAAGTTTTCAAACTGGTTTATTTTGTACATATTTTAATATTTTTCATTCAAAATATTTTATAAACATAAAAATTGGCATTTTTTCAATCAGAAAAAGTCATAGGAAAAGCAGGTTTAACTGCTTTCCTTATGACTTTTTCTCAAGAAAAAACTTTTCTAAATCATTTATTTTATCATTAGGTATTATTATAATAATAGACAGATGTCATCGTCTCTCGAAATACAATATCTTTTTTATTTCGCTGTCGATAGCCCGACACGTGTTCCACAGCCATCTTGTATTTTCTCGCGCGCGTGGGATTGTGGGATCTCTCGTATGGCTGGACCTAGTTTCAAGAACTCTTTTGAGTCGATCGTGATTGAACCTCGTTTCAGACTTTCAGTTGAGATTGAAACGGTCGATGGAGGTTGCACCAAGGCGAACAGGATATAAGGCTCTAGTTTAGTAGTGTTACAGAGTATAATACGTATATTTTAATATATTTTTTAAAAGAAACAAAACCACTGAGAAATGTTACGTGTGTTTAACAACGGGTTCGGAAAACTTTGAAAATATTAACAACGTGTTCGGCCGAACCTGTGCGAACCCGCTGAATATCACCACTGATTATATTCATATACATATCATAACATTTTCCTTTCATATACAGGGTGAGGTATTTAATCTGAAAAAATGAAATAAGTTTGCTTCAAAACAAAGCATTGCAGAGAAAATGTTTAAAATAAAATATGTTTGTTTTGAAGGCAGAAGGGTATCAGGTTTACTTATTTATATTTTGAGTGCATTTTCAAGGTCATATTAAGGTCAGTTTATTTTCAAATGAAAACCTATAATTTCTATATTGACAGCTGAATCTACATGAAATAACAAGTAATTTTTTTTGAAAAATCTTTTTGTTTATCACATTACTTTTCACAACAAAAAATAAGTGATTAACCTAGCCCATGTTGAAATTTTTTTATCCTTTTTTAAATAATCATGGCTACTGTATTGTTAAAAATTATTTTTTTATTTTGCACAAACAAAATAAATATATTGAAAAATATAAAAACAAAAAAAATTATATTTTGAAAGTTCATTTTAATATGAAAGTAATGACGCATAGCAACATCCAGTATCAAAAATGTTCTGATGCAGAAATGAGTATATTTGGGGTGAACAGGTCAGGTCAAATGAGGTCAACATGAAAACACTCGGGAACAACACAGGACAGGTTAAACAGAAAGATCTTTATTGCAAAAATTATTTTTTGTTTTGTGCTCAAAATAAAAACTAAACCTATTGCCCTTCTGCCTTTAAAACAAACACATTTTATTTTAAACATTTTTCTCTGCAATGCTTTGTTTTGAAGATATTTCACTTTTCAGATTAAATGCCTCACCCTGTATAGTAATACATAAACATATACAAGGTGAATCAAAAGTAGGTGGACAGTAGGTGGAATAGGGTTTGTGTTAGGGTTATTCTATAACAATGGTATAAATTTAACTTGGTTATGGTTGAAAAATTACGTCAGAGATGCATTTCAAGAAATTAATACACAAAGATAAATTATGCAAAAATGTTTGTAGAAGAGTGAAATGGTGAAATGTAGACTTCAAAGCTGTGTAAATTGTGATGGAGAGTAGTTTGAGCATTTGTGTTGATAAAATTGTATTGTATTGTATTAGTAAATATAATTGTGTATGAAATCTCAATAAATGTTATCATTTACTGGCCACCTACTTTTGGTTCTCTTGTATATTATAGTAACTAAATTAGTAAATTTAAAAGGTAAAATTTATGAAATAATACAATATTTTTACCAAAATAGAACTATATATTATGAAAATAATTTAAAAATTTGATAAATTATGCAAGAGTACTGTGTCCAATTGATTAAACCAATATATAAAATGAATTTTGTAAAACCAGGTGTAGTTTATCCTCCTATGTAAGTACAGTGAACTCCCATATAGTGATGAAAAATTGTGACTAGTACTCATACAAAATTATAATTTTGTCATCCAGAGATATGTTTTCTTTTTCAACTTCTAAGCCTAGGTTTAAACTTGCATAAAATCATCTGCTAATGCAGGTCTCGATAATGCAGTTTCTTATAACAGAGTGTATTCTCCACATTTCATGGGACTCTGCAGTATAAGGGCTGATTCCAGAGACAGTCTTTGCTAAACCCAATTTACCCCCGTATTCACCAACACGAGTTAAACAGAGAGTTGACGAACTCGAGTTTAGATGTAACTCGAAGTCAGATTACGAGTTACTCTTCTTTCGTATTCAGATAAAAATTTAACTCTAGAGTTTCGCTACTCTAGAGTTAATATTTTAAAACAATCCTGAGTTCGAGATTAAACAAGTCTTCTTTCGTAAGCAGAGTTTTGATTGGTTGAAAGCAAACACGTGTATGAACCAGGGAGGAGACGAATAGAATAGAATAGAAACACGTGTAGAAAATGGCGGAAAGTGAAATGGAAAGCAGTGCACGCCGTAACTTTTCTAATTTTGAGAAGGAAATTCTACTTGAATTAGTCGAAAAATATAAATCGATCATTGAAAACAAGAAAACAAATGCGATTTCTTCCAAACAGAAGAGAGGCACATGGGAAGAACTAACAAAGGAATTCAATGGTATCCCGGGTGTCACCCTTAGAAAAACCAAACAGTTATTGGACTGTTATAAGAATTTAAAAAAGAAAGCCGTGAAAGAACAGGCACAAAAAAAACCCGAATTATTTAAAACAGGAGGAGGAAACCAATTCGTTCTAATAGGTTTCTTACGCTCTCTTTTGGCAAACGATATCGACATAGAAAGTCGTAATCGTCCAATTGTTCGAGGTCATTTCTTCTTGGAGAAATAATCCGCCGACTTCTTCGTTCCATACGATCTATATAATCTAAATATTTCAGATTTTCTAGCATCTCGGCTTCGTCTTCGTCGAATGTCGCCATTTTTCTCTGAAATAGACCGCTTTGCGCAGGCGTCAAACCTAGAGTTATCGTCTACTCGCCGATTTTCTAGAGTTAGAGTTAGAGTTAGGGTTATTGTGTTTGACTCGAGATTCGGAGTTGGTGAATACCAATTTACCAGTAACTCGAGAGTTAACCCTAACTCTAACTCTAACTCGTGTTGGTGAATACGGGGGTTAGAGTAACAATGGCATCTAGCGACAGGCTTTTTATATTGCGATTTAAAATTTGTTGCAAAGATATTAATTAGCAACTTTTGAACATGGTCAACTTTTGAACATGGTTCAGAGAAATGTTAGTTATTACATTTATTGCCATTGCTCCTGGTTTTTAGATGCTGGTGAACCTTTTTGTTACATCACAAAAATGACAAAGAACATGACAGAAAAATGTTGAACTTCATCAGAGAAGGAAAGAATGTCTTCAGTGGGTTAATTAGGAACTATCTGATCATGAAAGAAAAACAAAAAATAGTTAAATATAATTTATAAATCACAAACATATTATATTTTACCAAATAGAAAATTTAAAAATAGGATTTGTAGACTAGAAATAGGAAACAATAAATTAATATCTTGATTTTGTTTTTACAGTAGAACATTGATTATCTGAATACCAATCAACTGAAACATCAGTTAACCGAAAGCAATCCATTCGGCAAATTCAAATGTTCACTAGTGCTGTGGCACTTCAATTTTTGGCTATGTCTTGGTCTACTTCAATATTATTTTTGTTGGTGTGTGTGTTTTAGCTGGCAGCACTGGCACAACCATATTGTATCATTAAAAATTATTTCTTTATTTTGCACAAACAAAATAAATATATTGAAAAATATAAAAACAAAAAAAATTATATTTCAGAAGTTAATCTATATAAAAAACATTCTGATTCAGCATGACACTTGTTGAGAGGTTACTTAAGGATTCACTAGTATTTGACACAAGGCTTTTTTCCCCCCATTATGAGTGGTGTGTTTTGCTTCAGCTCATCGGAGAATATATCCCAAGCGGCTGGCATCTCCAGATAAATCTAAGAAAAAGAAAGAGTTTTGCTTGTTTTGTGTGGTGTTTTTCTGAGGACTGTTGTCAGGATATGTGTCATACTGAATCAAAATGTTTTTGATACTAGATTAACTTCCTAAATATTTTTTTTTTGTTTTTATATTTTTCAATATATTTATTTTGTTTGTGCAAAATAAAGAAATAATTTTTAATGATACAATAGCCACAATTATTATTTTAAAAAAATTTTTGTTAGGCTTAACATTGACAAAAATTCAATGCGAAGCGACATGCAACAGAGAAAAATTTCAACATGGAATAGGTTAATATTTTTTTTAATATCAGTTATCCGAAC